GCTTCTTCATGATCAGGGAGCTCTTGCAGGTGACATAGAGGGTGAACAGTGGGGACAGTTAAGAGCCTGAACTTGAAATGAGATAGAATATCATTATTGTGATGTTGCTACTCACTGCGCCTTATTAAGTAAAATGTAATTGGATTCAGTTTCTCGTTAGAAATAAACGTACTAGAGCTTACCTGATAGGGATATGGTGGGAATTAAATAATATAATGTTTATATTAGCTTCCTCATTTCCTGTCACTTAAATACTGATCCAGATTGGTGTTAATTAATTTTCACTGTGATTTGAAATAATTAGTGTTAACAATGAATATTTCTACTTCAAATATTAGTACCTTTGTTATGATTAGATATAGGATAACTTGATTAAGAAATCACAGATCATTTTTTAAATTCATCTTTTTGCATAATTATTTCTGTTTTTCAAATCATCAAATATATTTTTTCTTATAGGTAAATAACTTTCTCAGTATGCAATTCTAGGTTGTTATTTATTTTCTCTAAACATTCTCTTTGAATTTGCTATTTAATAGTCTGCTATCAATCAAATTGTCCTTTTTTACTGTGGTAAAAACACCATGAGATCCAACCTCATAAATTTTTAAGGTGTTGCAGTTCAACAAGTGTAAAATTTCAGGTATACAGGATATATAAGTTCTATAGATACACTGTACAACATTCTGCCTATAGTTAACTATATTGTTATTATGCACATAATAAATATTTCTTTAATTAAAAAAAAAGAATCACAGTGTATATGCTATTTGTGGCAGGTTTCCTTAGTTCAGAGCTCTCTATCTAATGAGGTCTTCCATGGAGTGCTAATGGTTCATTTGCCTTTATTACTGTCTTGTACTCACTGGCAGGGATATACAGTAAAACCTTGGATTGCGAGTAACATGGTTTGCGGGTGTTCTGCAAGATGAGCAAACATTTCTAATACATTTTAACGTGGTAAACGAGTGATGTCTTGCAATATGAGTAATTTGTTTCTGGAACGAATTATGCTTGCAAACCAAGTTATTACTGTACCATTATTGTCTATTAACTCTACTGCTAGTGGCTATTTGGGTATTTCCAAATTTTTGCCATTATGACCAGTGCTCCTAAAAACATTACTATACACGTATCCACTTGGATGTCTTATTCTCATCCCCATCTCAGTATGCCCTATGCTGAACTCCTCAAGAACTGCTCCCCAAGAATCTAATCCACTTGTGGCCTTCTACATCTCAGGTGATGGAAACTTCATTATTCCAGGTCTTCCTATGTGAAGTAATCAGAGTCATCCTCAGTTCTCCTCATTATGTCTTGCCCCATCATTAGGAATCTTCTAGCTCACCCTGCACACTTCACTGTGACCACCCAGGCTGACTTGCCTTCTTCTCACTTGATTGTGGCTTTACTCTCTCCTACACCTGCCCCCTGCAGTCTAGCCTCAGTACATCTGATGGATTGTTAAAGCTATCAGATGAGATTACTCCTTGTGCAGAAGCCTGAAATAGTTCTGCATTCCTGAGTCAAAGCCAACTATTTTCCCACATCCCATCTCTCTCCACCATGATCAAATATTACTCCCCATCTCTCTGCTCCAGTCATACTAGCCTCTGACTATGGGTCTTAGCCCATTTAGAATGCTATAAAACTACCACAGAATAGCTTGTAAACAACAGAAAGTTATTTCTCATAGTTTTGGAAGTCCAAGATCAAAGCACCAGCATAGGTGTTTTCTGCTGAGAGCCCTCTTCCTGTTTCATAGCCAGCACCTTCTCATTGTGTCCTCCTCATACGAGTATGGTGGAGGGATGAGGAATCTCTTGGGCCTCTTTCATAAGGACCCTTAGCTTGTCCCTCAAGGTCAGAGAGACCCATAATGATTAATCTTTTATGCCTCTGGTGGAAAGAGCTGTTCTGGCACCTTATAACCTCAGTGTGTGTGCGCGCGTGTGTGCGCGCGCATGTGTGTGTGTACGTACTCAAAACTGGTGCACACCAATACCAAGGTTTGTGATTGTGGAGATTATGGGAAGGTCTAAGTTCTCATGTCTTCTCCCTCCTTCCTCCCCCTTCTCAACATCTCTTCTTTCTCAAATGAAGGTAACATAGAGGATGAAAGAGTAGCCACTGATCTTGTGATAAACAATACACATATAAGTTAAAATTAACAGTTCTCCAGAAAAGTGTCTTCATGCAGCCAGTTGAACCTGTCTACTTGTAGTGACCTGGAATACATAAAAACTTAGGGTCTTCTGGCCCACACTTCCAAGTTGGGTTTCCATGAATCCTTGGGCCTCTCATAGTTGGTGCTGGGGAAAGTAGGAAAAGCTCTTAGTCCTTCAGTGTGTTTTTACCTATTAGAACCTTGTCCAATGTGTTTTTATTTATTAGAACCTCATCCAGGTTTGAACTTGTGGTTCATATAGTGCTAAGTGATGTCGTGGGCAATAAGGAAAGAGATGAAGTAGTTTTTGTCACAAGGAATTGATAATCATAAAAATTGAAATATTTGTTTCATTTGTATACCTTTTCTCTCATTTCTCCAATGTGTTCTGGACTATCCTAGACTCTGAAAAAAAGAGAAGTCAAGGAGGGTCACAGTAAAAATATAGAGAGAAATAATTTCAATTTGTTAGTGGTGCTGTTAAAACTAACCACTAGGAAGTGAGAGTGGGCATAGATTAGATGCTGTGCAACCATAGGATCTTGTTTGAACATCCTGTAAGTTGAATCCACTTCCCCTGTGTTGTCAGTGCCACCCATTCTCCTACATGTATATGGTTTGTCATAGGACTCAGTGGTCTTTGAGGATGTGGATGTGAACTTCACCCAGGAGGAGTTGGCCTTGCTCAGTGCTGCTCAGAGGAAGCTCTACAGAGAAGTGATGCTGGAGACCTTCAAGAACTTGGTCTTAAGTGGTTAAGGACAGCATCATTCCTTCACTTAGTTATTTAGAGAGTAAATAGTTCTTACTCGTTCAGCCTATTTCAAGATTTAGAATGTAGAAAGGAAATACAAGATCAGACAATTAAGTTCGCAGACTCATCCTAGAAAAACTGCTATATACCTCATTGTTGAATACCACTAGTGTCACCTTCGAAGTACTCCCCTTGGGAAGCTTTGCACTGACGCCAGTGCCTACTCCACCCGTCAAAGCAATTTTGGAACTCTTTTTCTGGAATGGCCATTAGAGCTGTCGTCGTATTACCCTTGATGTCCTAAATGTCATAAAAATGAAAGACTCTGTGAAAATAATAAAAGTAAATAAAAATATGGAGAAACCTTCAGCCATATTCCAAATCTTAAACTGTACAAGAAGACTCCTGCTGGAGTAAAACTGTATGAATGCAGTCAATGTGGAAAAGTCTTCAGGCATCGTTCATCCCTTAAGAGGCACAAAAGAATTCACACTGGACACAAACTATATCAGTGTGAGGAATGTGGGAAAGCCTTCAGTTGTCCTAAGTCCTTTCGTGTACATGTGATTATGCACACTGGAGGGGAACCTTATGAATGTAAGCAGTGTGGGAAAGGCTTCAGTTGTCCCAAATCCTTTCGAGTACATATGATAATGCATACTGGAGAGAAACCCTATGAATGTAAGCAGTGTGGGAAGGCTTACTATTGGCTCACATCCTTTCAAAGACATGTGAGAATTCACAATGGAGAGAAACCGTACAAATGTGAAAAATGTGGGAAAGCATTCGGTTGGCTCTCATCCTTACACAAACATGTCAGAATGCACAATGGAGAGAAACCTGTAAAAGTAAGCAATGTTGGAAAGCCTTCAGTTGGCCCTCTTTCTTTCAAAAATGTAAAAATGCAGACTGAAGAGAAACCATATAAATGTGAAAAATGTGAGAAAGCCTTCAGTGGGCCCTCATTCTTCCAAAAGTGAGGGAAAATGTGGGAAAGCATTTAGTTATTCCAAATCCTTTCAATGTCATGTGAGAACTCATAGCAGAAAGAAGCCCTATAAATGTAAGTAATGTGGGAAAGTCTGATGGAAACTAATTCGTGTATAACAGTTCAGGATGTTCCCACCAGGAGAGAACTCTTATAAAAGTTATAAATATGATATTGCCTTGATCAGTACCTCATCCTTAAAGTGGAACCATAGCAAATGAATTTCCATTATTTTTCAAATAAGCATCAAAATGAGAATTCTAAGTACATCTATAGTATGTATATGAATTTTGAAATATAGTGGATTTTTTTCCTCATAAATTCAGTTAATAATTTTTGTTTCCACTTTGAAATGTGTTGCAGCCAGGGTGATTCGAAGTGCATTTTAAATATGCATTAGGTTTAATTTTTTTAAAGATTTTATTGGGGAATTGGGGAACGGAACAGTGTTGGGGAATAGGGGAAGGGAACATTGTATTTTTCCAGGACCCATCAGCTCCAAGTCAAGTTGTTGTTCTTCAATCTTAGTTGTAGAGGGCGCAGCTCAGCTCCAAGTCCAGTCGCTGTTTTCAATCTAGTTGTGGTGGTGCAGCCCACCACCCCATGTGGGCATTGAACCAGCAACCTTGTTGTTAAGAGCCCACGCTCTCACCAGCTGAACCACCTGGTTGCCTGTTGGCAGCTCAGTGGAATCTCAGGTCGGGTGCAGCTCACTGGCCCATGTGGAAATTGAACTGGCCACCCTGTTGGTCAGAGCTCATGCTCTAACCAACTGTGTCACCTGGCTGGCCCTAGGTTTAATTTTTATATAAGTATTTTTTATTCTTGAAAGTATGGAGCCATTAGACCAATGTAATGATGGTATTCGTTGGGATTTTTTTTTTAACTGGCTCAGTATGTTCCAAACTGGATATCATTTACCCATTACATATAATTCACCTTACTATTTTATTGAGATAACCTAAAATTTTTAATGTTAACACTTTTTACTTACATAAGGTATGTATGCTCAGCAATCTTTTTGGCCAAAGGACCTTTATCCCATTTTGCTGGCTAGCAAATTTGTAAATATGTAAGTTAGTAGAAATTTGTAAGTCTGCAAAGGTCTTGAAAGAGTATAGTTTCATATGAACTACTATTTTTATCTGTTTCTGTATGCTCTTTTTCCTTGCTTCTGGCTGGGAATTGGACCATACCTTTGAATTAAGAAGAGAGACAAAGAATCTAGAGGTGGAGATGGTTCTGTTGGTTTGTGTTATAGAAACAGGTAAGGCTAGGAACTACATTTCCCAAGATGCCTTCTCTATATGATTCCATAATAGGATTGTTATGGCCCAAGTTACATTATATTTGGAAAAAGCAATTTTTCAGTTCATTGAGCCATCACTGTACAGGGAGATAGATGCATAGGGACTTTGTGGACTCCAGTCTCCAACTTATTTTTCTGATTGCTGGCCCTGCCAAACAAAATTATCCTCAAAACAAATAGCAACTGGTTGACTACTATTTGGTTAGAGGGGTAGGCTTCCACAGACATTCTTCTCTACTAATTTTCCCATCATGGATGCTCCTCCATGGTTAGATGTTCACAGTTTTCATTTTCCTGCAGGCCCTATGCTACCCACCAGGCCACTGGTTAGGATGTCATGGCTGTTGATTTTATCTCATGCTCTGACTCCCCTTTTTTCTAGATCTTACCATATATAAGGTCTAATTTGTATAGTGAACACCTCATGATCTTCATACTTCTCATGCTTCTGTGTTTCTGATTCCACTACAACAGATGCAGTGACACAGCCATAAGAGCACACAGTACTGTTTTTACCTACTGCATTGTTGAGTGGCTGCCCTGACCCAGTACTTCTTTGAGATAAATAAGCACATTACTGACATATCAGGCAGACTGTGTGGGTTTTCTGTTACTCAGAGCTGAATACAATCCCTCAGTATGTGTTCTGTTATTAAGATTGATGTGTGATGAAACAAATGTGTATTTTTTATTTTTAAAGATTTTATTGGGGAATTGGGGGAGGGGGAACAGCATTGGGGAATCGGGGGAAGGGGAACAGACAAGTTGCTGTCCTTTTGTTCTTCAGTCTAGTTGTGGAGGACGTTGCTTCACTGGCCCATGTTGGTATTATCATTGCACTCTTCCCGGCTAAGGTAGATCCATCGCCGGCCACTCACGGCGGCTCTTGGCAGCTCCCGCTGGCTGCCGGCCGCTCACGGTAGCTTATAGGAGTCCACTATAGCTCCACTGCAGCCTACGCAGTTGCCGGTGACTCATGGCAGCCCAAAAGATACCTGAAAGCTGTGAGCAGAAGGTCCTTGAATTTCATCGTTTTGTCACTCAGTGTCAGAAGACACATCAGTTTGAGTTGGGACAGATTGCAAATATGGACAAAGTCCCCCTTCAATTTGATGTCCCAAGTAACAGAACTGTTGATAAGAGGGGGTGAAAACTGTAACTGTGAAGACAAGTGGACATGAAAAGAGCCATTATACAGTTGTTCTAGCTTGTTGTGCTAATGGAACCAAGCTGCCTGCTATGCTGATTTTCAAATGCAAAACTGCCAAAAGAAGACATTCCTCGAGGAGTGATTGTCCACGTTCATGACAAGGGTTGGGTGGATCAGGATGGGATGAAGATCTAGTTTGAGAAAGTTTGGAGCAGGAGACCAGGTGGGCTCTTATGCAAACCTGTCCTATTGGTGCTTGATCAGTTCAGGGCACACATAACAAAAAACACAAAGAAGATTGCTGTAGAGCAAGAAACAAAACTTGCTGTCATACCTGGAGGCTTGATATCCCAGCTCCAACCACTTGATGTCAGCATTAACAAACCCTTCAAAGCTGCCATGAGAGACGAATGGAACCAATGGATGAAGTCTTCTGGGGATAATTTGACACCAGCAGGAGGAGTGAAGAAACCAACTATAGGAGAACTTTGTACCTGGGTGAAAAGATCCTGGGATAATATCAAGATTGAGATTGTTGTCAAGTCATTTAAGAAGTGTGACATTTCAAATGCCATAGATGGAACTGAGGACAAGACAATATATGAAGACAGTGATTAGTCATCAGACACAGATGAGGACAAGCTAATGGTTGGGAGTTTTGACAGTGATGAGGAGTTGTATGAATTTTATGATGAATAAAACTTGAGTTCAATAACTTTACGTAATACATTTTTTTTCCCAAATTTCGGGCCCCAAAATTAAGGTGCGTCTTATACATGGGGAAATATGGTTGTTATTACAATATTATTTACTATATTCCTATGCTGTACTTTACATCCCTGTGACTATTTTGTAACGGCCGATTTGTATTTCTTAATCCCATCCCCTTTTTCAATCAGCCCCCTAAGTTCCCTACTATCTAGCAATCATCAATTTGTTCTCTGTAGCTCTGTTTTTTTTTCTGTTTTGTTTATTTTGTTTTTAGATTCTACATATAAGAGAAATCATATGGTTTTGGTTTTTCTCTGTCTGACTTATTTCACTTAGCACAATACTCTCTAGATTCATCCATGTTGTAGCAAATGGCAAGATTTTCCTTTTTATGGCTGAATAATATTCTTTATCCATTTGTCTATTGATGGACATCTAGGTTGCTACCATATCTTGTCTATTGTAAATAACGCTGCAATGGGGGCCAGCTGAGTGGCTCAGTTGGTTAAGACATGGCTTAAGAGTGTGAGCTCTGAGCAACAGGAATGAAAATATGTTGAAAAAAGGACACTGTCCAAGACTTCATGGACACTGCCTAGAGTCAAATGGATTTTCCATGATAACAAAGTTTCATGTATTAATCTGACCATTTATTACTCTTGATCAAAAGTCTGAGGTTCTTTAATTTTATAAGTGTGAGCAGAGTTTCTCCAGTTCTCTGTGGGGCAGTGAAAGCAGCTTGATGGTTTATACCCTGTGAAAGTTACACTGTGGTTAGTATACATTTGACAAGGTGATCTTCCTGCAATTAAACCCATAGTTACCGAAGGTCACTGCCCTTGAAGATCATAGTATCAGCCCATCTCATGAAATATTTATTGCCCTCCATCCTCCATCATGAGGACCTTCTCTCTAGGAGCAGGGCAGCACCACACACTGTTAGGGCCTTGCTCGTTAATAAAGACCTGAGAGACTGAGATTTTTGTTCCAAAGACTTTATTTAGCCAAGCCTGGCAACCTCATTGCAAGAGGAGAAGGGCTCCGAGGTCCTGGCAGGTGGAAGTTTTATAGGGCTTGCTTTCCAGGGTATTGGGCAAAAAGCAAAAGCAAAGCAGGTGTACAGAAGCAAAAAGAGCTGTTAGTTCTTGTGAAATGTTCCAAGCCAGTTGTGACAAAAACTACTTCTGCAAAACATTTGTTAATATTTCTGTTGCAATCCATTTCTTGTAAAGCTAGGCATTTACTGTCTATTATTACCAATCCCTGGTGTCTTAACGGGAAGTTCTTAACAGGAAGTTCTGCTTAGAGTTTAGCTGAAGTAGCTGAAGCATGATTTTTTAAAAAATTGAGCCTGTCTGGCCTAGGGTCTGGGCCGGGGTCCTCACAACACCATCTCATATCCCAGAGGCCTCTGGGGATGCTCCATGTAGGGCCTATATGTCTGAGAACTGCAGGAGAGTGACAACAACCCTTGAGAGCAACAGACTCTAGAGAAGGGAATAACGTTTGTCTATGTACATCAGAAACATGACTCAGTCTGTGTTTGAGAAGGGTGACGTGTGTCATGTCCCTGGCCTCCCTGTTGGACTTGTCATCCACCCTCATTCACCTGGTCCTGTATCTCCTCTCGTAAGGGGAGCATATGGGCATGTACATTTTCCCCAGTTCCTTCATACTTTGCTTTTGTGATAATATTTACCTCAACTTCAGTCAGCGTTTCTTTTGAAGTATTTCTTATTGAAAAGACTACCATTTTCACCTAATATTGCCAAAGTCCCAAATAGATAAAATCTTCAGGTTATTTATTTCCTCACAGACCCATTTTTCCTTCTAGAATTTGTTTACATTTTTGGATCAGTACATGAAAATAAATTTACATAGGATCTGTTTTCTTGCTCTATCCTACTACTTCTCAAGAAATTAAATTACAGGCCTACCTGAGAGATATTGTGGGTGTGGTTCCAGACCACAGCAATAAAGCCAAAATCAAACTAAAATGAGTCATACAAATATTTTGGTTTCTCAGTGCTATATAAAAGTTAAATTTGTATTCTGCTGTAGTGTATCAAGTGTGCAACAGCATTATGCCTAAAAGCAAACTACATACCTCAGTTAAAAGATACTTTATTGCTACAAAATGCTAACCATTATCTGAGCTTTCAGCAAGTCATAATCTTTTTGCTGGTGGAGGGTCCTGCTTTCAATTTGTGAAACAGGCAGTGTCTGCAGAGCGCAGTTACGAGATGTGCAGTCCAGCACAATATGCCTGTGTGCTGCCCATCATTGCAGCAAGTGGCTCTCAAGTCAGAGCCAGTGGATCGAGTGCCCAGCAGGAAAACTTGTAGATTGAACTACCCTGTGAAGAGAAAACAGTAAGATTCCCAAGAAGGGATTCCTGGCCTGTTTTTGGAGAAAAGTGGATGTTTTGTAATATCACATATGAGCACCAAGCTAGGGAGAGGTGTCTGAGGTGAATGGCACTGCCACAGGGGAAGGAGGAATCTCGGAAATGTGTTAGAGACACTTGAAATTAAAGAAAACGTGTAAACCTAGCTAATCAATTGTGTATTTAGAGAATGGTCACCAGATACCATTTTCATAAATGTGATGTAGATATTGAGCATCTGAAACGGAATTCAGGTGGAAACAGTGATCAGAAGAGCCTGGATGTAACAAAGATGGAAGGGGCCGGCTGAGTGGCTCAGTTGGTTAGGAGTTGGGTTAGGAGCACAGGCTCTGAGCAGCGGGGCAGCCGGTTCGATTCCCACATAGGCCAGTGGTGCTGCGCCCGAGCTCAGTTGTCGCTGAGCTGCCAACAGGTGGCAGGATGACTCAGCTGGTGTAACAATAAGATTGTCTGTTTGATGGTGGGCTTCGCTCACCCGTAGCTGGGACTGAGCTTGGCACCTTGAGCTGAGCTGCCACCCGGATGGCTCGGTGAATGGGGCATGCACTCTTAACAACAAGGCTGCCAGGTTCGACTCCTGCATGGGATGATGGCTGCGCCCACCTGCAGCTAAGATTGAGGACAGCACCTTGAGCTTGGAGGCCACGAGCTGCTGACGGGACTGTGGGGAGGGGGGGGGTGCAGATGGCGACTGGCGCTCTCCACGGTGGAGATTGAAGAACAACTTGGCTGGTCTCTTTTCCCAATTCCCCAACACTGTTCCCCCACCTCCAATTCCCCAATAAAATCTTTAAAAAAAAGAGAGAGAAAGAAAGATGGAAATTATGGCTCAATTAAGGCCCAGCCAGAGCCTTAAGCTTCTTTCATGAAGTAACAAAGCAGATGGTGCCAGAAACACACCCATGCCATGCAAATGGCAAAGACATAGTCCAATCATCATCGTCATCAATCAGTCATTAACTAACACATCACTTTTTTTAAGATTTTTTTTGGGGAATTGGGGGGATGGGAACAGACAAGTTTCTGTCATTTTGTTCTTCAGTCTAGTTGTGGAGGACGTTCTTCACTGGCTCAAGTTGGCATCATCATTGGGCTCTTCCCGGGCGAGGCAGATCAGTAGCTGGCTTCTGGACGGCCACTCACGGTGGCTGCTGGCCGCTCATGCTGGCTGCTGGCTACACACGGCAGCACATGGCAAAACACT